AATACCCGAGCTGAATAGCTGGTTCCTGATATCCGGTGTACCGTTTCTCTGACAGTATACAATTGCGCTGATATTTGTCAATATCTTCAGGATTTCTGTCAATTCCTCTGCAGTGCAAGCTCTGTAATTGTTTGTGCGGTGGATATTCGAGCCGTGTTTTTAATAGCAATCACGTAGTCTGTGGATCCAAGACCCAGCTTTGTAGTTGTCTTCCTATGTAAACGGAAGCTGATTAAAAGTAGTAGTTTGACTGATGGCCTGAAAGTAGTAACTTTTTACTTAGCCCTAAGCAGACCAGAAAATCAACTAGCTAGGTCGAGACGGTGAAAAACGAGTAGAATTTAGGTAACTGACGCCGGCCGTCCATAGGTATTTTTCTACGCTCCGTCTCTGTAGTATTTGGGCGAATAATAATAAATTAATACACATAATAATGAAGGATTTAGGATAAGTTCCAGGGGAATTGCTTCCCTGTCACTTTTAGTTTATTGAGTCTCATAGAAATTCAGTTTTGCAGAATTGATGCAGTTTGTGCAGTCGCAGCATAATCTCCAGGTGCAGGGGAGGTTTTCGTTGAATGTCGCAGTGAAGTAGCGCCAGTAGATAGTTGACAGTTCTTCTTTGCATTGCGTTGATTTGATGACATCTTGGTTGAGATGTTTATTAAATATGTTTGAACGTGAACATGCTCGTTGCCAAAAATCAGATTCGCATTGTTTCAGTCGGAAGCATTTGCTGGTATAAAAGGGTATTGCGTGTGATCTTGTTATGCCTGTATTAATAATCTGTACATAGTTCTCCCAATCAATGTCAGTTTTCGAGTTGATAATGCTAGCAAAAAGTAAAACTACATGCATTTCATGATATAAGGACAGTGGTAGTAAGTGAAGTCTTTGAAGACGCGATTTATATGAAAGGTTGTTTGTGCCTAATATCCAGATACTTGCTCGACGTTGAACCTTCTCAATGAGTGCCAGTTCAGACTTAGATGGTTTCCAAAGAGACGATGCATAGCTGATTATTGGCACTACATATCCTCTCTATGCATTCTTTTTAGTGCTTATGGTCGAGCTATTGGCTAGGTTTCTTTTTAAAGAGAAGAAAGCTTTTAGCGATTTAGCGGATCTAGTTTTAGCGTGTTCCGTCCAAGACAGGTTGATTGTGACTATAAGTCCAAGATCTTTCATAAGATCCGTTCCTGGTATATTCTGTTTTTTAAAGTGAAGGGTTTTGCATTTACTTAGGTTCAAACTCATAAGGTTCCTGGAGCACCAGTTCCAAATTTTATTCGAGTCGATATTCAGGGTTATTGCGTTATCTGAGACAATTTTATAGTCGTCAGCATAGCCGAAGCAGTTGGACATGGCCACCGTTGGCAGATCATTTATGTACAAAATAAACATGAGTGGGCCAAGTATTGATTCCTGCGGAACCCCACTTGTTATTGGCAGTAATTTTGAGATGCAATGCCCGATTCGCACTTGCTGGTATCTATCACTAAGATAATTTTTCAGTAGACCAAGGCACGCGCCACTGAAGCCAGTATGAGAAAGCTTTTCAATTAGTTTCAGGTGGTTGACTTTATCAAACGCCTTTTCAAAATCGAGATACAGTGATGAAAGGTTATTTACATTCTTGTTGTCGTACTTTAGATAGATTTCGTGGAGATAGAGTCTGATGTTACTAATGGTTGAGCATTTCGTTCTGAAACCGTGTTGTGAGTTATGCAGCAGTTTTTGCACCTTCGAGTACATTTTCTCAAACATCAGTTTTTCTAATACCTTCGATGTAGCATTCAGAAGACTGATTGGCCTGTAATTGGAGACTACCTGTTCGTTATTTTCCTTGTAGATAGGCACTATTTCACTTAATTTCCAAGTAGATGGGAATTGCTGCTTGTTCGCAATCGTAATGAAAAGTAACATTAATGATTTTGAGATGGAGCTCCAGAGCTGTTTAAAGAGCAGGTTTCCCATTCTATCAGGTCTTTTTGACTTGTTTATGTTAAGATTTTTTAAAATGTCTTCTATTTCGATGATATTAAAATGAAAATGATTTAGGAGGGTCGTATTATCACTGTCTAGGTTTGAGTCATATGGAATGTTGCTGTAGACGGAACGGAAATACCGGTTAAAAAGTTCAGCTTTATCTTGGTCGGAGCGAGCTTTTTCACGATCGAGATACATATCACTAGGCACAGTAGTAGAACGCCGAACGTTACGCAGATATCGAAACGCCCTTCTTTGAAAAGTTTTCTCTCATGGTTTTGCTGATCCATCAGAAGAGCATAGGCCAGGTTTGTTTGCGAATTTTCCAATTTCCTGAGGTTAGCTTCGCTCGGCTTTTTAGTATATTTATTAGTTAATGTAGCTCGGATTTTAATAAGATTAGAGGTTGAGGGGGTTACCCAAGGCGCCAGGGACAGCCGATGTTTAGTTTGTAAGGGAATGTGCTTTATTAGAATACTATAAATCCACTGGTACCACAGTCTAGCCATAACATCGACATTGCTGTAGCAGTATGGCATGAAAGGCTCCTCAGCTATTTGATCGTTTATGGCTCTCCAGTCGGCTTTGGTATAAGCAAACTTTGCAAAGTCGAGTTCAATTTCATGTGGTCTCTTGCGGCGGAACGATTCGTTAGACTGAAATTGAATCCTTGCCTTGTAAGGCAAGTGATCGCTGGCGAAGTGGCTTTTCAGAAAGTTATCAATGCAAACATCAGAAAGAATATCCCCATTATTGCATAAGATAACGTCCAATAAGTATTTTCTATGGTCGATTTTAATCCCTTGTTCATAATTAAAGCTGCACAGAGCATCCAATTCCACCTGTTCATTTTCAGCTCTGGATGTCAGTGTAGACCAGTCAGTTTGTGCAAAATTAACGTCTCCTAATAATATCACATTTCGAACTGAGTTTTCTTGTTGCACATATCTGATATGGTTTAGTAGTATCATTAGTTTAGTGCTGACCAGCAGTAGGAACTGTTTGACAATGCGCTATATATGCAGCAGAGTAACAAGGGAATTTTGAAGTGAAGTATAGTGATTACACAGTCTGGTGAGTCAAACATGATTCTCGTGTAAGGTATATTCTTTTTCACTCCAATGAGAACTCCTCCATGCTTAGTATTACCGTTTTTACTGGGACGGTCACTTCTATGTATATCAAACTTCGGCAGAAAGAGCGCTGCATTGTCTAAATTTTCGGTGAGCCAGGTTTCCGTAAGGCACACTATATCATAGTTATCACTAACTTGTAGACTATTTGAGAGGTCAGCTCTTCTGTTGTAATCTAGAATGCTTCGTACATTGAATAAAAGAACAGTTGCGTAGTGGTTTAGTCAATCATTAGCCTCCTTTGGGTCCTCATAGACAACCCATTTATTGTCTTGTCGTATTAACAGTTTCCCATCGCGGATCCTGAGGTCTTTTTTGTCAATTTTTTCGTTAATAAGTTCGTGACGTTTTTGTAGCGCCTCATTTTCTAGTGTTGCTTCCTCTCGTGATAGCTCACGACTGAGATAGACTGGCTTGTCGTACGTTTTTAGTTTGCTTGCCGAAAAAGAATAAGCCGGCGCTGCCAAGGATTGGACACTTTGACTCGGATTGTTCGGGTTTTCGTATCGTTTCGTGGTCCAAGTCTCAGTAAATCTTTGATGTTGCAGTTAGCTTCAATGTGGGCAAATACCTGCTGGATTTCTGCAAGGTCGTGTTTCTGTCGCTTTCTAGGATCTCTGTCGTCTGATTCTTTCATTCCTCGCACTCGTACTCCCGCAGGGACCATTGTTGCTTCAGGTGTTTTGCGAATGGTTGCTGCTGGTTGATTTACTTGCATTGTTTTAGGTGGATCAGATTTATCGATCATTGCAGTTTTGATTTCGAGAAGAGAATTTTTGAGTTCAATAATTTCGTTCTCGATATTCGTAATTTGGCTTTGATTGGTTTCACTTACCTCCATTTTTGCAATGAGAGAATTGATTTCATCGCGTTTGTTTTGCTCCACACAGTCATTGCACAATAGCATTACATTTGTCTTCAATTCATTTATTCCATCTCTTGCTGTTGCACTCAGATTGGTACATTTTTCGATTAGGTGAATTTTGCAAGAGCAAGCTATACAGATCAGAAGTGGGTCACGTGCACGCACTGGTCCTTTACATGTTTTGCAGGCTTCATCGGAAGCCGAAGTTACTCGGGAACGAGTAGCAACTTTCGCTTTATCGACCATTACAACGACTGGGAGAATAGATAGGTAAACCTATGGTTCCCGAAAGGGGAGTCCTGCGGTTTACTGTTTCTACTCTGAGGCTGGGAACAGATATGTAAACGTAAACCTATGGTTCCTGAGAGGGGAGACCAGCAGTACAGTTTCTATTCAACGAGAAAAACTTACTTAATAGGTGCAGTTGCAATTCCGAAATCGACACTCAAATGTTGCCAGGTGACCTTCTCTATTGCACGAGTACAATCTTGTTTTTCAGGATGCTCTGGATACCTCCTAGACCCTCTTTGTTCAGATGGACTTCGTCTTCTTTAAGATGGTATATGCAGTAAGTTTTGTCGCACAGACCTCTGTATTTCCAGTTTCTTTTTTTTTAATCTCAGAAATCCGTTCATGTCTGATGCTCTCTTTCTGTACTCACCGCGATGTGGAATGCCAAGGATAAAGATTTTTGGGGCTAATTCGTCTGCTAATTTTGAAATCTCGTTGGCTATGTCCTGTTCGGAGACAGAAGATGGTACGTTGCGTCGTTACCACCAATGAAAAGTACAATTAGATCGTATTTACCCTTTTCCGGCAAGAAGTCGATCACACTGCCAATCCGAGCTCCAGGTAGAGACAAAATGTTGAAATTCGGGAAAATTAGATTTCTTACTTGAGAGTCTGCAATCAGCAGGTTTCTAGATGAAGACGTTCTGAATTGATGATAACGTCTATACATTTACACGGAGCAACCACGGCTACTCCGGAGAAACATTAACCTGAAAGCAAACTATTTAATAAGTGTGACAACCGAATGTTACAAAGAAAATAAAAGTAAAGCATTAAAATAACCGGCTGTTCACTAGAAAATTGAATTGGTCGTGAAACGAAATGCAATTTAATTATAGCATGGCTTGTGTGGTTTCAAACGCGTTTTCTGTCGTTTTCTATTCAAGGTAAAACTCGATTTTTATGTTTAATGTTGGCGATGTCTTTTTTAGTAATAATCATGGTAGCTGCAAAGGCAATACAACAAGTTTCGATGTTTTCTAAAATATACGACGAGTTTTTTAAAGTGAGTAGAGCTGTATTTTTTTACAATAGTATTTAATTAAAAAATATATTTAATTATGATGGTTTTTACACACGCGAGAGCAAGTGTCTTAAATTTTGTTTGCGTAGGGTCTGGATCCTTCAAAGGGAGCGCAAAATTTCTGGAACACGCTCTTTCTCTTGCGTGTTGATGTACAGTATTTGGAGAATAAGCTAAGCGCAATGACAACCGATGATATTTTTGAATTGAAGGTGAGGCTGCCGCTGTGTCCCACAATTTAATTCAATCGTTCTAACTGACAGAGTGTTTGTTTTTCAGGAAACAATCAATTGTATATTTTACCATTGTGTTGAGTCTCTGGATGAAACTAATCCTATACGAATTATTAATTCTATGCAGGTATTTTTTTGCTAAATTTAAATTGAAGGTTTCAAGTTTTATGCACATTCCGTAAAATTATATTTTTTAGACTCTCAGTGTGTTCGTCCGAGAAATAACCAAGAAATTGCGCGGTGCCAATTCAGCTTATGACCAGATGGATGTTTTAATAGGCTTCGACTCGGCCGAAATTGTCATTCCAGTAAGTCTGCAAGTTTTGATATAGATCAAAGCTTATTACTCATTTTTACGTGTATCAGAACCTACATTTAAGGTAGGTTTATGGACTTCGTTTTTTAAGTTATTAATCTTAGAGTATAAATGTTTTGTAAAGACTTCAATTTCCTCACAAAAACAAGATTATATTCCCTCTGTGCATAAATCTTACTGCAAACTTCTTCTTTAAAGTATCCCATGTGCCGAAGTACAACATTGCTGAAGTACAAGGTAGCCGAAACTGAAAATAAAAATTGAGGATAATTGAAATTTTTGAGTTCTTGGACCGTTTTGCTTAATGACAGGCAACCAATTATAATGGCCATTATTCACTTTTCAAATTCTGTCGATTTGAATTAATGGAGTGCGGTATGTATTTAGACAATCGCGTAATGTATTTAGACAATCGCGTAGAATTCATTATTAAATAGTTTAAGCTACAATTTGAATTACGGGCAGCAGTAGTGGCCCCTGAAATTGTTACGATTGGAGCTAGTTCACTGGACAGAGCCCTTAGCAGGTATCCCAACGTGAGAAGCCGACTAACAAGAAGCGACCTGGTTCCAATTATCCCAGGTATCCTTCGGACAATTCTGGTCTCCTTTGAAACAACCGCGGGTCTCAGTTTCCATGATCCCAAAAAGCAAGTCTGCAACTTATTCGCCGGTCTCCCCCGTAGATCTCTCGTTATTTTGTGATGCGACGTCATTAACAACAGCATAATGCGACATCCGAGAAAATCAAAACTTGTACCACTAACAACAGATCCGCTCATATCAAAATTGGCGATATCCCAAATATTGTTGGCTTAACGTACGTTCAACGAGAAGACGCCGATGACATCTTCAAGGACCTGTTAAGTACCAAAATTCCTATACTGCATCTAACAAGACCTGTCCAAAAAGAAGCAAAAACAACCTGAGTTTACAACTGTCTACCAGTAGCTACATCTCAAGCCCTGTCTTGAAATAAATATCGTGACAGATATCAGAAGATTTGACTACGATATAAACCAAATCGTGCTGAAAAACAAACGAGCATCACAGAAGAAGCGAAAACAGCTTACAGTCGCAGCTCAGTGATAAAGCTGGTAGGTCTTCTCTTCTATACAATATCGTTTCTGAACAGCGCCGGTTAACCCCGTGGCTCGGAAGAGTCGGGATTGTTTCTGAGTATGTGTAGGACCTGGAGAACTTGTAATGACGCCATCTTCAAAGGCGAACTATCCTATAGTTGTGTTGCTTGCGGGTGCAACCTCCACTTTTAGCCGACTTGTACTGCACGAACCTCTGTGGCAATCAGTGGCAAAAAAGAGCTTGGACAAAACGCCATGCTACTTTGTAACATCTGCGTTAGCAATAATGAACGCGATCAAACTTTTATCAAAAGTCGTACCGTGGCTAGTCGGTATGAAAATTTTGACCAAAAATGGAGAAATTTAACTTAGTCGATAAAGTCGAACAGATAGTCAAAATTGGCTAAGCTTGTCGAAGAGAAGATGAACGAAGCTACACTGAAATCCTGCAATTAAGTGAAGGAAAGCTATGCGAACGTAGTAAAGAAATACGAAAACGAAGAATCCGGGTCCCTGGCTCGGACACCTAAAGAACGATTCAAAAGCGTCAACAACACAAACTAGATTCTGAATACAAGGGATTGACAAAGATCCAGACAAAACGCGGGACCAGAATTTTGTCCCAACATTCGAAAAAACTACAAACGTGATGAAAACCGTTGGAGTTGAACCTGATTTCATTGAGCTGCGAGGTTAGGAATACTCATTGCTGAATGAAACTAACCGATGACAACCTAACTTTGCCCAAAAGTACTGAACATAAGGGAAATTTGAAAGAGATGAATATTTTCCTCTCCAGAGCTCTCTCACTTGAGGATTCAAAGAACGAAAATATGTCAAAAACGTCGCAAACAACTCACAGATGAAGAGGTTCCACGTGAAAAATTGAAAATACGGAATTTTGAGTTATACAACGACAGGATCAAGGTAGCATTCTCTGACGAGCCCGCCCCAAATGCTTGACTATACAGTCTACAGATACTTCAGCTAAATGCACAAAGTCTTAAAGACTACCAAAGACGCTTTAATTTCGCTAATGCTGTACAAACTACTTCTTACAATCTAATATGTATGTGAAGCATGGCTAAACGACAATTTTCTTAACTCAGAATTTCTTTTACTAGACTACGCTATTATACGATCTGACCGAAAACAAGAAACATCTCAAAATCCCAGTGGTGGTGTCATTTTTGGCGTTAAAAATAGTATAAACTGTGAAGCGCTCAAAAGTGACGTGAATAGCTGCCTGGTTTGCATGATTTATCTAGCAAACGAAGAACTATACTTATGTTCTTTCTACAATCCACCATCTGACAGCCGCTATCGATAAAAAACCGAGTACTTCGAAAAAATTTTAATGTAAATCCCAATAGGCAGTGAAGCCATAATTTGTTGTTACATCAACTGTCCTTCCGCAAAGTGGGTCATCTTCTTGAGTCCGGACACTAATGAACAAGAAAAACTAGACCTTTTAGAAGATAAAATGTTTCGGCAAAGCGTAGAATTTCCAACACGTGGCATGAACACTTTAGATGTTCTGCTCTATCAAAATTGCAATTTCTTCTCTACTCGCATCGATGACTTTGACAAGATATATGACTGTTCAGACCTTTCCTCCTTAAGATCTACCATTCAATTAAAATACCTTGAAGTCTCTCCAACAAAAGAATAATTCTACAGCTATACCTGGGATGACTCCAACGCTATCTTAGAAAGCATGGAAGAAAACCTTTTCGAACTCAACTGCTATTAAAACATAGACAACTTATACGATAACATAGACAACTTGTACGACAACTTGTTCCATAGAGAGCAAAGTTCAGGCAATCACTTCCTCCATGGATAAAATCCATCACTTCAAACCTAATAAAAATTTTAGAGACTCAACGAAGTTTACTTGAAAGACGACCCACAAGCTACAGGAGACCGAAAGTAATAAATCTAAAGGCTCAAGTAAAGGAACTGTGCGAGGAAGATAGGATATGTTATCAAAATTCAGTCTTTGGAACAAGAAACACGGACAGCATATATAAGCATTTAAAACATATCAACCGATCCGCTAACATTCCAGCAACTCTTCGCTACAATGGAAACACAGCGTCAACTCCCCTAGAAAAGGCAAAATTATTCAATGAATTATTTATTTCTACTTTCTCACCCAGAGAAAGCTTTCACATAAATGATTTGGTGAACACCCTTGACGTTAACTCACCGACTCTAAGTAATTTCTCTATCTCTTCTAATGAAATCAAAACTCTCCTTGATGGTATCGATACGGCCAAAATGCGGGGATCAAATGGCTTGCCGCCTACGTTCTTCTATCAAACCAGAAGTCAAGTGTGCTTGATTGTGAACAAACTCTTTGAAAACATGAAGAGCCTGCGCAAGCTCCCAGCATCTTCGAAAACTCCAGCAGTAGCACGAGTATTCAAGAAGGGTAATCCTAGAAATGTGGAGAGCTATCGCCCGCTTTTACTACTTTGTATTGATAACAAAATCTTTGAGAAATGTGTTTATAATCCTTTGTGCCAACACTTCAGGATATATAACGAAAAATCAACAGGGGTTTGTGCGAAAGAGATTCGTTATGGGTAATAGGCTACAATATATGAACAATATGTACTCCGCAATCGACCAAGATCCCAAATCGGAAGTAGTTTCCTTTTATGCTGATTCTCAAAAGCTGTCGACAGAGAACCACACAAACTCTTACTAGAAAAAATTAAATTGTATTGGTGTAAAAGGTTGTTTTCTGGAATTTCTGGTTTATAAATGATCTGCCCGATGTACTCAGATTCAGTGACCCCTTCATCTTCTCGGGCGATCTGAAAATCCTGGCCGTCAACGAAACAAACGAAGTTCAGTGCGACTTGAAAGAAATTGAATATTGGGTTCATGGGAACGATATGCAATTAGCAATAAGCAAATGCGCAAAAATTGAATTTCGAGGACATTTGAACAATCTGATTTTAAATGGAATCACACTTAACCTAGGAGTTTGTCAGCCAAAACCTGAATTGGAGCTCTCACATAAATGAACGCCTGAAAAAAGCGAACAGATTTCTCTACTGCCTACGTAAAAACATAGCCTACAATACGTAAAACTTGGATTCTACAAGTCTATTCTATTGCCAAAACTAATCCACGGAACACACTGCTCAGCCCCCTCAAGACAATAATTGAAAAAACTCGAATCGTTCCAAAAGAGGGCTATCAAATAGACCTACACGGACCAGCTGCGCCTGCTGAATGTCCTACCGCTCCCACTCTACATGCAATTGAATGACTTACTACTCTTTTAAAAGCTATGCGAAGGTCAAAGCGAACAGAACATCAAAATTCCGTTCAATAATCCTATCACCAACCTGATATTAGAAATATTTACCCTGAAGAAAACACGAATCGAGAAAACCAGACACGAATTCATTTTTCGGACAGCGAGAATCGCAAACCGAATTGCCGTCAACGTGAATTATCGAATTTCTAAAGGCCTCAAAAAACGAATTTTAGCCCTTATGTGGAGATACGTCAACGAACGATTATCAAACAGCAACATGTGTATATGGCAGCTGTGATGTGATTGCGCTAGTTGTCGAACTATATGGACAATCTTTTAACGCATGAAAACGGGATGAAATTGCCCTCCAGTTTACTGGGAAGTCAATACAACAACAACAACATACTCGTCATTAAAGAGACTTATAATATATTAACCAATCAGAATGGAGATGAGAAAGCAAGCTTACGAAATAAATACTCATTCATTTCTTCCTTGTCTCGATTCTTTTTGGTTAATATAGTATGTGTCTGCTTACTGACGCGTCTGAATACGCGGATGTCTAAATACTGTTAGGTAACCGAATTAATACTTGTCAGCAGACCGCGGGTTCAAGTTCAATAACTATTTTTTGAAGTTGACTAACTATTTCTGAGAAAATGAAGGAAATGAACTAATCATAGAGATGCGCTTCATTTTAACTATTTCATTAAAATTTTTAAGGAAACCGACAGTGGTTTAAAAATTAAACGCCAAAGGCCTGTGACCTCATGGTGGGGGATGCGCTTAGAAGCTATAAAATAAAATCTTAACAGAGAATTCATGGAAAATGATTTTGTTTTGCTGTTACTGCAGCAAGTCTTCGTAAAAACGCGAGGTTTAGTTAATTTTTTTTTCAACTAATTTGATGGTTTGTAAGGAACTATTTATTTAACTAACATCCGGGCCTGCTTGTCAGTGTTTTTGGGACCAGTAAAAACAGTATTCCAGATCATTTTCGGCACTTGAACAACCATATCTTTTTTTCGAAACTGTTGTACTTCGGCACGGTTTTACTGCCCCGATAGAACATCTTACTTAATTTTTATACAATCTCCATATTTACTATTTGTTCCTAAATACGTTGCGTTAATTTCACCTTTATTCGGCCCGGTGAAGTAATATTTTGAATGAAACTGTCATATTTAGAAACTGATCAGATGCATTGGTAAAATTATCAGTGGAAGCGATTCAATGCTACTGAAGAAGAGAGCTGTCCGTTTGGCTCTTGTGGTCGCCACGGTAAATTATCTACGATTGCTTACAAATATAGCAAAAGTTGTTAGGCTGAAAAAATCTTTCCTTTTTTATGGTTTTGTGTAGATCAACCTAAAAGTTTTGTATTTATCATTGATGTTCATTTCGCTTTTAGACAAAAGACAATGTGAACCAGAACCCGATGCTGGACTACTTCATGCGGGTGAGCATCTTCGAGAGTCTATGTGAGCTGTTCTCTTGTGGAACAGCAGACAGGACAGATGTGGGCACAGACGCGGTCATTCTTTTGCTCATTCTCATCAACTACCGCAAATACGATGTAAGGAGTAGCTCATTGATTCTAAGGTTTACCAACTATCGAGGGCTATCAAGCCATTAATTTTGTCGAATGTAGTCAAATAATTCTCACGATTAAATCTCCTGGCTTCCGTTCCAAAAATGAATCTTGTATCACTACTTAAAAAGATCATTATATCCTACTATTGAAGCTGTCGGCAAGTAGATCATTATATCCTACTATTGAAGCTGTCGGCAAAGTAAATCTCGTACAAGATCAAAATAAGATACTGGCATGAAAATAATAATTTGGAAACTTGCGATTTTCAGACTGCAAATCCGTATGCTGTCAAACTGTCTATCCTCGACAACGAACTAGCCCTAAATGTGAGTGTTTATCACTAATATACGCGGGCTCTTCATCACATTAAAGCAATAAGCAAGTTTCTTGTTTCAGGGTTTGGGTCAAATCATCAACAAGGTGTTACAGGATTTCAACGCAAATTATTCCACTAAACAACAGCAGCAGGACTCCAATAGAGGAGGCTTCTTTTTCTCAGTCACCAATGCGGTAAGCATCATCAGACATCCAAAAAAAAATCATTAATCTTGCTTCCTGATAAGATTTTTTTTGGAATTAAATCATTACTGAGTTTGAAGTTTGTGGTTGTGTAAACTGTTACCTGTGGGGAAGTCGCATTGTTTCAGGTCACAAACCTGCTGGTTGGAGAGGAGAAAACTCTGGATGAGTACAGGTAATTTACATTTTATACTATCGAGACGATTGAAATATTTGAGTGGCTCCCAAATAGCCGTCTTGATTATCAGTGCCAAAACGCAGAATAATTATTTTGGTCTGCTTTCAAGGCTCGGATGGTTCCGCTTCTCAGTTTTTATCTTTAGCCGTGATCGTTATTTGTGGGGTCCCAAAAAACATAAAGACTAAGTTTAGCGTCTAGTAGTTTTAAATAAGGGTCAACCACATGCTTGATAAATAATAAAGATTTGAACAGTTCGTATGCTAGCAATTTGCATGGTAGATTTAAGTGTTTTTTAGTTTGTTCTCAAAACGGAGGTTTACTTGGTAGTATTTTCTTTTTTATGTTCATAGAGTGAACGATGCTCTGCTGTTTGCATTATACGAAGGTGTTCAACTGAACCGAAATCTCATCTCAGTACTAACGAGGGTAAATTCATGATTTATTTAATATATTGTGCCCAGCAAATCTTAACAAATTATCTCAATTTAATTTGTTTTAGAATCATTCAGACGAGCCTGTGAATATTCCTGATCAACAAGGTATAAGATTTTGATAATTTTAATCTCATCTTTTTGTTCCGCCGACCACCAAAAGCGTGGATAAACTCTGTATTCATTTGTCTTTAAGTGTCAATAAAAGAAGTGAAGACACTTATCTAAGGCGTGTTTATTCGCTTTTTTCAGGAAAATTTTTTTTTTCGCGGTTAGATTTTTGAATTGAAGACAAACAAGGGTGCTTGTATCTGGGCAAAGCGCTGAAATATCCTACTGCCCTTAATAATTTTCAATTTGAAAAATTAGATAAATATTGTGGGGGATGATTTTTGTTCTAAAATCATCCCCCACGTTATGTTTCGCTTATGAAACCGTAACAAATGGACTGAATAGTCTGCATCAATCCCCTTGGAACGTTTTTTAAGCCGGATTATTTCGTCCCTTGACCGTTATAGAACGAAAGATGTACAATGCCTCTTTGTTATCCCAAATTGGCGGTTTTCAAACCCGCATAATTTCACGAAAAATGATCAGAGGTGGGTGAATTTTATTTTAAATTTGAGTCCAGGGCATCGATACCTTTCAGATGGTATAAAATAATTTCGTCTAAAATGGTAGTTTAAAATTTCGAAGTTTGTCTAGAGAAAAAAGACCAACTCGAGCGCAAATATTCGGTCACTTTTTTGAGATTTCCGAGCATATTAAAATTACATTTAAATCAAATTTTTCCAAACTGATTTTGTTCTGTTACATAACAGGTTCCTGTTTTAAAGTAAAAGGTTCTTGAAATTCAAAGAGCTGTAATGTGATACGTTTTTGTCTTTAAAACTCGAATATTGAAATTTTTCAAAGAAAAGTCGGGCATTTTTTTTGTTTCCGTATGTTTTCTTTGTATACAAATCCAGGTACCTCAAATAAGTTTTAGATGGGAAGAGTAATAAATCGGGTATGAGCTCTTCACTCGTAATGAGACTGAAATTCGCATCTGTGCTCTCCACAGTATGGCTTGTATGTGAAACATATATATCAAATGTCGAATGTATCGATAGCAACTTGTGGGGTATATAACGAAGGGACTGATATGCACCTGTGATGAACATATAGTCCTTTCAAATCTTTCGGGGATGCCGAATATTTAAGAGTAATGAACGTACTGAGAGCTCTTATATAGGTTTTGCAGATTTTTTTTCAGGAAAAAGTCTTAAATTTACGCTCAGTTTTGATTTTTCGCGGTTTGACTTGTGATTTCTTTTCAAGTTCAGCGCATTTCTTTTGTTAAAAGAAAGGCAAACTCCATCGAACAGCAAAATTGTAAAGATCACAAAAAACGTGATCGACTTCTAATTTTTAAAATGGAAATTAAATTAATTGAGTTAGGACCGAAGTGGTTAACTCATAGAGTAATTTCGGATAGGGTACTCCGTCTGCTCGTCACGCTATCTTATTTTCGGCCGGATAGATTCGGGCAACTTCTTAGTCTAATACCGATCCTAATCTTACTCTTATATCTACTAGTCTCAGGGTGTTTAACTAGTCTCTGCTAGGCTCAATAGATCTAGAGTATACTGGCTTATTGCAACTGCTGAAGTTCTCTTGGAGAGGCAACTAATTTCTAAGTTAAATTCAAATCTCTCTGGTGCTGAAATTACAAGTAATTTCAGCACTTACAAATAAGTGGGTTGTTAGTTAGATGGATTATGATTGGTTAATATTAATTATTTTACAGTGGTAAAATATCCAATTTATCCAATAATAAAATGTAGTTTAGATCAGGTTCCACCCATCCGGGGTTTACAGAGTTTTTTAGAACTATCTTTCTTCTCTGCAATTTGAAGGATGGATGATGAACGTTGGTATTTGGCGAACATCATTTTCTTGTCCGGTTCCTCTTGGAGAAGAACGTTCCAGGACGCTGGAATTATGGATAGGAAATTGTTACGTCATTCGACAACAACTGTGATCCCCAATGAAATCAATCCGATTTCAAAATGGTTTGCTATGACAGGTTTTTCTGTATTATGTAGAGAACTTGTTTTGTGTGCAACCTAGTCTGGGAATGGCGTGAAGATCGTGTGTGGAAGGGATGCCTTGTAACTCGGATCTGTACGTATACTTGAACATCGAGGTGGTCATTGTTCTAGTTCAATGAAGTCCTTTTCTGCGAAGTCAAGTAGTACTCTAAATACTTCGAGTTGTGATTGTGGACGGCATGTCGGTTGTGTTTAGCCATTCTTTTGTTCGAGTGTGATGGGATCATCTAGTCTTTGGATATTCGTCTTTGTTGTTGTGTATGATCTATATACTGCAAAGTATGATTTACATTTTATAAAATTATGTTAATTTGGTTTTTTAATCGTGATTTTAGTAAGTCGTTTTCACAAAAGCGTTTTTTTAGTTCGGTTATTTTGAAGAGTTACTCACCCTTGAGTACCTCCTATTAAAAATAGGAGTGTGGTCACAAAGCGTGGATGTAGCGCGGTGGGTTAGGCCGGCTATAGAGCATGCTCAGGACGTCCTCTCTGGTGGGTTAGGCCAGGAGTGGGAGTATGATTTCATGCTGTTTCTTTGAGAGGTCCTGTTATGTGATAACGTTTTATGTTGGGTTTATGTTGGTCTTTCTTATATTACTTTGGTTGTGTCCTTTTTTCAAAAATCAAATTGTTTTTGGTATGGGTTTGTCTTGCGACTTTTTTGTGTTTTATTATTTCTTTCTTAGACTTTATAATAGTCTTCAAAAGAATAAATTATCCAGTTTTAAACTGGGTCAATCCGGTTTGGGTACCGTTGGTTTTCTTTTCTTAGTCATGCTGTTATTTTATGATTTGTGTTGTTTAGTAAGCTGCGTTGGTTAGTTTGGTTTAGTATATAATTCCTTTCCAACCGGGTTAAAGGAAAGTTTGAAACTTGTTATCGTGTGTTAGAGTTGTTGATAGTGAAAGCATGAAACTTAAAATCATTATTTAAACAATTCTTCGTGAGCGAGCTGTGTGAGTTTGGATAGAATTCTTGTGCGCGTGAATGAAAATTTTGAAAAGGTTAGTACTGCTTTCTCATTTTATCAATTTATTGCATAGAATTTGAATTTTACTGCGTTTTGGGGAAATTTAAAATTATAAATTTTCATTGTATCTAAGTTTACTGCTTCATGGGGAAATAATTTATAAATAAAATTACTACATTTGGTATGAATTTTACTATATTATTTAGTGCAAGAAATTAACGAATTTTAAGAGAATTTAACAACTTTTTATTTTTCTTTTTTTCTTTTCTGTTTTGTAGATGATCGTGGTGTGAAGATGTGAAGACTAGAAATATAAATCAAACATTGATAGAAAATGGTTCGTACTAATTTAAATTTATTAGTTAAGGGTATTTCAAATTATACTTACCTTAATCTTCTGGGAAAAAGCCGTGGGGGAAGATGTCGTGAATCATATCTGATGTTGTTAGTAATTTGGCTAGTATGCGTATTATGTTTTTAGTTTGTAGCAGTGGCCAAAGCAATTGAAGTGCTTTAATGGTGTTTAGTTCTTCGGTGCCTACTGCAAACTCGTAAGGTGTGTTTTGAATGAGGTTATATATTTTATGATTATATTTAGTATTGTGAATGAATTCTAATATGGGTATTTCAATAGGCTGGATAAATTCATGCGGGATAATGAAGGGTCTGGATTCTTCGGCCTTGAAGGTCTTCGTGATGGGACGGAATATATACATTTGGGTAACTGGGTCATAGTTGCGGAGGATGCCGTGGAGGTTAGTATCTTTGATGCAATATGTAAAATTAAGGAAAAATGGTGACGTGTACTTTGAGTTAAGAAACTGAAAACGATGGTGAGGTTGTCTTGATGGGGTATGCAAATCAAAATGATTTTGTATAAAACGATAGTATGTATATGTGTGGGTTTGTTAAGTGCGTAACATAATATCGTGAGAACAGTGCAAATCGCGTTCCTGTGGTGAAAGGTTAGTGAAAATAGCTGAAATTTATTATAGAAGCTCTCGTATGCTTGAATATCAGCTAGTGATTCTGAAATTTTGTGGTCATTCTTTCTATCAAAAATATTAAGTGTGAATACGTATGATGTTTTGATGAAAATTTTTTCTGTTAGTTGCGGGTTTGCGAAGAGGTCTTCATCTAAAAATTGGTCTTGATTAGGGCGGATGATATTATGATCGTAATATTCTATTGCAAATTCGTTAGCTCGGGGTGCAGTGAATGTTTTTAGTAACTTTTTATATCCAACGTAAGTAAATTGTCGAGGTGTTAGTGTTGTGGTGAGTCTATATAACATGTTTTTGTTCTTTTCTATGCTGTCATGAGTATTTGCTAGTGGTAGGCAAAGGGGGTTAGTAAAATTATAATAAGCTGTCCAATGAAGTGTTGGCATTAAAACATGTTCATCTACAAAATTGCTTATGTCATTAGTATCGTTAGGTGTGTTTAATGTATATTGCGGAAATGAGGGTAAGGTGATTTCAAGAAAATTTTTTGTGTTGGTGTGTTGCGGGTGATTAATATATTCGCGGGCTGTTCCGGGTTTGGTTGGGAATGGGTGATTTGGAAATTTTCGTTTAAAAGTGCGATAAGCTCTGTGAGTGCTAGTAGCTGTTTCGGTGGATGTGGATGATTGTGCTAATGATGGAGTGTAAGCTGAGGAGGGTGTGGGAGCAGGTGGATTTGAGGATGTTATTGTGGGTGATAGTTGATGTTTTGTAAGGGTGTTGGGGTGTATTAATTGTTGTTGTAAAGTTATAAAGTTATCGAGTTCCTGGGAAATTTGGGGGGTATTTGGGTAATTATTATATGATCTGTCGGAATGAAGTGGAGAATAGGTTGGGGTCACTTGGGAAGCATAAGAAGGAGTGGAAATGGATGGGAGTGGATTATTAGATGGAATTGGTTGAAAAGGGGGTTTTGAAAAAATTGAGGAGTTGGTCTGGGTATAATTAGAGGGAGATGGTTCGGAGTCTGCAAATTTGTCGGGGGTTTCTACATTAGGGTTATTAAATTGTGAGATAGAATATAAAACTGAAATATCTGA